AGTAAACATTGGTTTTGTTTGTTTTTCTGACATGACTAAGCATCTGTTTTGTTTTGCTTTTTGTTTTACTTTGCTTTGTTTGTTGACAATACTAAGAGTCATGTTTTATTTTGTTTGCTGACATTACTAAGGGTTTGGTTTTGTTTTGTTTTGCTTTTTGTTTTGTTTCGCTTTGTTTGCTGACAATACTGAGAGTTTTGTTTTGTGTTGATTGCTGCCATCACTAAGCGTTTGTTTTGTTTTTACTTGCTGACATCACAAAGTATTTATTTGTGTTCTGTCTCTTCTTTTCTTTTTTTTATTTGCTGGCATCACCGGGCAGTGTTATTTAGTTTGGTTTTCTTGATTATTATCAAGCCCTCTTGTTTTTTTTTTTTTTGTTTGTTTTTTGCTTTACTTTGTTGACATCACAAGCCCACTTGTTTTGTTTTGTTTTGTCATCTTTTAATCTTTTTCATCTCATATAAAACCATAAAATTTTTCTTGTTTAATATAGTTTCATTCTAAGTTATTCATTCTTAATTTTGAATTTATTTCATGCTCAAATGTTTTACGTTTCAGTAGCCCTATTTTAACCAAAATCATTTATAATCCCACGTCAGCTACAGTAAGGACAATTTTCCATCTGCCACCTTTTTTTCGCTTTTCTTCATTAGCTGCTCCCTTTCTCAGCAGAGTTTAAAGACAGCCAAAAAAGTGGCTCGTGTGGTTTGGCGCAGGCATTAGTGTGTGCATTCGCAACCTAGAGAACATCACAGAAGGAGGCTCTAGGACTGCATTCCCATGGGTCATTGCCGTGATGAGTTTTGATGAAGGGTTAAGCACTGCACTTACCAGGAACATAGTAATTTACCAGGTAAATGTGTTATTACAGCCATTACTGCGCGTGCTCTCTAGACAGGAGGCGTCTCTGTGCTTACTGGGGGAAGCCAGACCCCAGTTATGAAACTTTCGAGAGGGAAAAAAGTGCGATGATGTGAATCTTGGGACACACACGGGTGGTCTTCCAGAGGAAGAGACAAATCCATTTCTGCATTCTTTCCCAATAAAAGAGGCCTTATTGTCATGTTTTTGTGCTAGAACACGTCGGCCCATCACATCACAAACTCAAACCTGAGTTTCAGTCATAAATTTAGCTTGTGTAGTCATCGGATTCAATCGCAGCTGATCGTATGTGGTTGTGACAGTTTTATTGAGCTGAGTCAGTGCTGTTTGCTCAAGGGCTCAGATTTGAAGCGCAGCCGTGCTCCTGCAAACAGAAGATCCAGCTAAAGATAGCGCACATTCCTGCGGTTCTGCCTGATAAGAAAGACCGGCTCCAAATCTCTGGCTCTTCATTTCTAGCTTACATTCCTCGCTTCTCCTCTCCCGCTGTTGTTTTTGTTTTTGTCCATTTTTCTCTCTTTTCGCTCGCTCTACATCATTCATGGTGTTTTGCGAATATGGAGGAGGGGTTTGAGGGGAGAAGTGTTTCCTGTGCTTGTGTCTGGGACCCTCTTCCTCTCTTGTTTCTTGCACACTTTCTGTTTATCCTGCAGTGTTGAGGAAATTTACAATAGTTACAGTAGGTGAAGTTTTACAAACTAATTTCAAGAGGAAAAAAATGATAGACTGCAGCTGGCCACCCATCTACATTCATTAGTTAGCCAAACAGATTCATCCAAACTCGCTATAAGTAGCCTAGCTAGAACTACTCCCTTATCTTCGTTTTCCGAAGAAACCCCCCTTCTCCTCCTTTCCTCCTTAACTTCCGTGGAGCTCTCGAGAACCACCTGATCTCGTACTCCTCTCGCATGCTCTATGGACCTGGCAGAACCCCTGGGCTCAACTATTTCCGAGCTCAGGGTTCTCTCCCGGGACAGCATGCCAAATCTGCTGACAGTTGTCAAACAATATCTAAGTGTGAACTCTTAAAATAAGTTTTTCAGAAGCATGCAGTAGCAATGCTGTGACCAAACAAATAAAAAAAGTGAAATTTTTCCAACAACAAGCTACTTTTGTACTAAAAAAGGTGAATTGTTGGTTTGCTTGTTTGTTTAAATGAAGTAGATCAAAATATGCAAGTTAAACATTTAGTGTGAATGTATCTCTTGCAGTGTGATGCTTTCACACCAATTCCTAATAGTTTTTGTGCCTGATTAATTATCTTATATATTGCATTCAACATTATATAGGCTAGAGTAGTTATACTGACCCAGTAATTATTTTTTTATGCACAACACTTGGTGTTCGCTATAAAAGAAAAAAATATACATGCATATCATACTTTACATGCAGCTTAAGAACAATTGCTCTTGCAACGAACTGAACGCTTTTTTACAACTTTATTACCTGTTATTCACAGCCTATGCAGGTTTTGTTCCCTAAAGACATCAGTTGTGCACTCGCTATTAAACAAACAGTGTGTCAGCTCATGTGTGATTTCGCAGCCGCAAATACATCATTACATTAAGACAGAAATGACAATTTTGGGTGAATTATATCTTATAAATACTGTATGTCACACTTTAAACACTGTTTGGAGGTGTTCCAAATGCACCTTCCCGAGCTTCATGCTTCTCCCGAACTTGAAAATATAATTGACTGAATCATAAAGATGCTGGATTAAGATCATATGGGGGGGTCAAATCGAGATTGCGGTCTTTATCCGTTTAACCGTGCACCACTTGTTTAGAAAAATCTGCAAATCTTAAATAATTTAATCATTTTCTACCTAATTATTGACTCTTAATCTCATTGTTAAACTCTTAAGCTCAACTATTGACTCTTGAATCAACTTGGCAGGTAACTATATTGAAATACTTTTTATTTTTAATCTACAAATGAAGAGCTCTGATGCAAAAATCTCAACGCAATCAGAAATTTTCTTCTAAAATGAGCATTGTTATTACAAAGAGTTTTGTTTTGTTTGCTGACATCACTAAGGGTTTTGTTTTGTTTGTTGACCTCACTAAGAGTTTTGTTTTGTTTATTGACATCACTCAGAGTTTTGTTTTGTTTGTTGACATAACTAAGAGTTTTATTTTGTTTATTTACATCACTCAGAGTTTTGTTTTGTTTGTTGACATCAACAAGAGTTTTGTTTTGTTTGTTGACATCAACAAGAGTTTTGTTTTGTTCGTTGACATCACTAAAAGTTTTGTTTTATTTATTGACATAACTAAGAGTTTTGTTTTGTTTGTTGACATCTCTTTTGTATGGTTTTGTTTGGTCTCCTGACATCACTAAGTGTTTTGTTTTGCTTTGCTGACTTCACTAATTGTTTTGATTGGTTTTCTGACATCACTATGCATCTGTTTTTTTGTTTTTTGCCTTTTGTTTTGTTTTGTTTGCTGCCATTATTAAGCATTTAGTTTCTGTGTACTTGAAGCAATTTCACATGTATCTTGTAGCATATTTGCTACGTTGTTTTACTACTTTTTTGCAACTTTTTTTTTTACTAACAACTACTTGTTTCGAAACATCTACAAACCGTAAATAGTTTAACCTTTTTCTACTTAATTGCTGACTCTTAATCTCATTGTCAAACTCTTAAACTTAATTTTTGACTCCTTTTTAAAACGTTTATTTATGTGCTTTTTGCATTCTATAAAACTACAACAAAACTACAAAAATAGAAAGAAAAAACAAGACAGTACAATAATAATAGATATAAAATACAACATATTAAAACACTAACCTATGACAGAACAACAGAACAAAAAGGGACAAATGCACATGAAAGCAAAATATAATTTAGCTGGACAGGTAATGCATAAATAAAAGCAATTATAAAGTAACATTGTTCTTACATTACCAAAAAAAAAAACACATTATTAAAAACATTACGCTCAATCTTTAATTACAATTATTGATCTTGAATGAACTCTGAAGGTTACTTGTACCATATTTAAGTACTTTAATTATCTACATATGAAGAGCTCAGATGCAAAAACCACTGAATGCAATCTGAACTTTTCCTCTAAATTGAGCATTGTCATTAGACTCTTGTGTGTAGGTTCAGACATTTTAGTTTTATAGCAAAGACTTTCTTATTTTATGCTCTTCAAAGTGAAATGACTCAAGGAGACTTAGAGTAATGGACATTTTCTGTGGAAATTTCAGACAACGCTTTCATTTTTGCATCTCTTCAAATCTATAAATCGTATCAAATAAGAAATGTGCAAGACTTCCATAAGCAAAATGAAAAAGCCCAACTGTCCAGCAACAGCTCTGAGATCACAAAAGAGAGGGAGGGAACAATCGGGATGGAGGGGGGGGAAAAAGGAAAAGGAATGGAATGGGCAATAATTGTAAGTCGGAAAGAGCGAGAGAGGGACAGTGAGAGAGGGAGGAGGCCGTGATTGAGAGTTTGCACCATAATGGGAGGGAGAAAAATGGAGGAAAGTAGGGAGGGTGTAGAAGAAAAAAAGGAAAGGAAGAGGCCGGCTTTGGCCCTTTCTGGTAGCTCCAGCTGCAGCGAGAAAGAGACTGAAATACTCTTTGTGCTGGTGTATAATCGGGACGCCAGAGAGTGAATTTCTGCAATGTTTTGAAAGCTGAAACGCTCCAGAGGTTATCATCAGGTATACGCCGGTCTCGAAACGGCCCGTCTGAGGCGTCCCAGCGCTGAGATTAATGACAACAGCTCAATATCTCTTGGGTGGGCTTACCATGTACCCCGCAGTATATTTAGTCAGAGTCTTTCTGCTTGACTGAGTGGACATCCTGTGCTAACATCCTTTCCTCAGCCATTCTCTCGCTTTCTTCCCTCTCTCTCTCCCCCCCACACCATTTCCATTTTAAGTGGTATTACGAAAACAAACTTGTGATCCGTTTGATGTCGAAAGATCGCCTGCATCTGGGAATGCATGATTTTTATTATTTTTTTTCTGAAAAGGTTAAGCTAATACTCGACAGCAGCTGTGGAATCCAGATGCACATGATTATATCAAGCAAAGAGTTGGTTTGTGTTGGGGCGTGAGAGTGAAGCATAACACACATGTTCTGTTGTTTTGCAGAGTCTGACACTCAGGATTGAAGCATGGATGATGATTTCGAGCGCCGCAGGGAGCTCAGGAGACAGAAGCGCGAGGAGATGCGTCTGGAGGCTGAGAGGTAACGCTAACTCTTCAGTCAGTTCACACTGCTATTTAAGTGGTGTTAATGTGGCGAGGTCTTCAGATTCATTGCACAGCCACCGCTGGGGATGATTGTTACTGATTGTCAACTTACGCAAGATTTAAAAGTCACTCTTGATGTGTTTTCAATTGAACACAATATCGAAAAAGTACTGAAAAATCGAACTCAAGTAAAAGTACCATTACTTACCCAAAATCTGTGGTAAATATTACTCCAAGTATGAGTAACAAGCATAGACTGTGAAAGATATGGACATAGTATCCTTGACGCCACCCATAGGTTTCTGAAGACCGCAAATGAAGCTACAAGTAGGTGTGGCCAACCGTCACCATTTTGTTCGCATGTAATCGCACTTACCAAGGGTTACCATATAAGGGCAAAGAGGCGGAGCATGAGTGGAGCTACAGACACCTGATATAATTTTGCTTAGATGGGCTTTTCTTTGGGAGATGCGCTTAATACTTCATTACCTGCAACTTGTTCATGTTCTGACCACATGTGCTTAGTTGTACACTATATCAATGAAGTGTTTAGTCTTTTAAAAACACTGTTGTAATACATTGCGCAACTGAGCATCATTCTTAAGACGTTTATCTACAGGAGGAAACTCAAATAACTCCCAAATACTTCAAATATGGTCTGTGTTAGTAAATGCAAGGCTATTTATGAAATCCAGGGTTACCACTGTGTAATGTGAAGTGGCGCTGACAACGGAGGTGCGGATCAAAATGCAGGTTTATTGAGAATGGTCAAGCTAGCAACGCTCACAATCAGGAGCAAAAAGATGTATGCAGGCAAATCTAGAGTCGTAGTCAAATACTCAGGTAAATAGTCAGTACAGGCAGGCAGCAGGAAACGTAAACAAACACGCAAGGCGAGGATCAAAGCAAGGCAAGAGAAAACGCATCAAGACAGTATATCAAGACTCAGCACTGAGTGTGTGTGTGTGTGAAAAAATACATTCTCTTTTCCAGCAAATGTCAATTTATTATCAGTAAATGTTTCCTACATATTTAAAACATGCACCGTCTCTATTTGATGTCTCTCAAGGACCAGAGTTTTCAACCCTTGAGTAAGAACTAGTTTATTTCTGCTAATTACCATTCTCTGGCTGGGAATGACATTTTTACAGTGTCTGGCAGTGCTTAATGTGTAAAATGTGAGTTCCTGATACAGATTGGGGTAAAGGATGTAGCATGTTACCAGAGGAGGGAGAGGTGTCGCAGACGGAGAAGTTCGGGGAGTAGCGGACAAAGAGGGTTGGGGAATTGCAAAAGAAAGTGAAGAGCGGGGGATGCATGTAAAGAGGGGGATTGGTAAAATGAAATGCCGGATCAGATTTCAGAGGTTACGAATCTGGCTTGTTGCAGCACAAATTAAGCTCCGGTGTCTGGTATAACGTTAATGTTGTTTTCGTGTTTACATAGATGAATATGGCCATGTTGTAAATGTACAATAAAATTATGATCCTATTGTCTCGTTCTGATAACATAAGATATGCCTTCAGTGATTTTCTAAAGATAAATACCAAAAAATAAGAGAGGGTGCTCGCTGCAGAGCCATTTGAGCAGAGCTGAGCTCCAGCGAGGGGGAGCATGAGCTCTCACTCTGCCTCCTGTAAGCTGTTTTAATGCGTACACCAACCCCACCCCTAACCCTACCCCCAGTGACATCACTCGTAGAAGAAGTGCAAAAAAGGTGGAGCTCAAGCTCAAGCTCCCCCTCGCTAGAGCTCAGCTCGCCAACAAGTACCATATCATCCACATATTTAAATAAATATTTAACTAGTGTCTAACCATCTTACTAGTAATTGTTACTAGAGAAATAATGGTAACACTTTATTTTGATGGTCCATTTGAGTATTAGTAGACTGTCTGCTTAATATCTGATGATACTGCTCCTCCAACAGACATTTAACTGACTATGAGAAACCTTGCTAGTACACGTCAACTTACACTAACCCCAACCTAACCGTCTACTTATAATCTAATGAGAATTAGTTGGCATGTAGATGCAGTGTAACTTAAATTCAACAAACGGACCATCAAAATAAAGTGTGACCAAAATAACTAATGTTATTGGAGGACATTTTAATTTGAGCCAAATGTGAAAATGAGGCTTTTCCAATTGTAACGCAGTTCTAGCCCAAAGCTTGACAGAGCGTGCTATTAAAGCAGAAAACTGGCGTTAACATGACAAATGTTAAACATCAGGATATTGGCACATTTGCGAGCCTTTTGACCATTTAAGGCAAAGCGACACTCCCTATAAACGCCAGAGGCATTGACCCAAATAGACATTTTGCTCCAGCCCTAGATGAGAACTATCAGAGAACTGTGCGTTTCTGCAAACACAGACCACAGCTGTTTCATGCACATGTCAAAAAGAATTATGGCTAATAAAAATGCAAATATAATCAAGCTTATTATCGTTCCGGCAGAGCGTGGGATGGCATGAATCAGCTCTAAATCGATATCTTTCAGCAACAGTTATGTCTGTTATCATTGGCTAGGATGTTAGACTGGAGTTACATGGTGTACAGTTCATTCCGAGTGTCAGCTTCCCGTCTGCTACGGCCTTCCTGCTTCCTGAATGCTTTTCTTTTTTCCTAATTTAGGATATATGGGTTACTTTTCACCTAATCGCAGGGAGTAAGCGCAAAAGCTGATGACGCACCGATTAGGGCCCATTATATTTTACAGCACTGCATAAAACGAATGCTTTTTCTGGCTATATATTATGAGCCTCTGAAAGGCTGGAATTGTGCATCCCATGCCAAGTATCGCATTTGGCAGAACGCTGCAAATATAACCCGTGTGACACGACGTGATCTTGTGTTTATATTCTTCATGGAGTCATTTCAATCTGGCAACGCTCATCTCCTCCAGCTCGGGGTCGTGATAAAAGATTAAACCGGCCTATTAAATCGCTTCCATTATGCAAAGATGCTGTAACAATCAATATTTACTCTCTGCCGGTAATTGAACTAGTCAAAACCATGTGTTGTCAGTCCATTCAGAGCGGTCACGGTGGACACAAAAGTCAGTTTTCGGAGTTCGCATGATAAGCGATGTCACTTTGCCAGATCGCAAGTGTTTACTGGTAGTGATTTTTTGTCTCCAGACGGTCCATGGTGCGAGCAGAAGGACAGCGGGCAGGCAGATGTTGGCAGAAAAACAAGGAGAGTCCGATAACGCTCATACATGCGGGAGCAGCTTGGCATCCAGCTGTATTTCCATCAGGCGATGATGGTTTGAAGCACGCCAGTCCTTTCTTTCTGGAAGATTTGCCAGTGTTTCAACAGCTGAAAATGACAGGAGAGGGAAAAGTGAGGCTGTGTGCTCTGTTTTCTGTCAGCGCGATTCAGTCGGTTGTTGACAATCTAAAATGTCCAGCACATTTGGTTTATAGTTTTACTCGCCATCTGATTAGTCAGCATTTTCATGGGCAAATTGATTTAATGCGTCTTGGAAAGACAAGTTTAAAGACATTTCCTCAATTTGAAAGGCTGATTGGTTTAATCAAGTTTGAGGAGTTTGGAAGTTTCATTGGTTTGGTTTGGTTATAATAAATAGTTGTGACTTCTGCAATATATTTGTTCAGTTTATTTATGCTGCTGTTGTTTATGATTGCAACTCTCTACTAGCGGGGCTTCCAGCTAACTCTATCAAAACCTCTTCAGATGCTTCAGAACGCAGCAGCACAAGTGGTCTTTAATTAACTTAAAAGAGCACATGTCACTCCGCTACTCATCCGCTTGCACTGGCTGCCAGTTGCTGCTCGCATCAAATTCAAAGCTCTGATGTTTGCTTACAAAGCGACTTCTGGCTTTGCTCCTTCTTATCTGCTCTCGCTTCTGTACAAGTATATATGCTGTAAAAGTATTCTTCATTATTACTTCACGTTAGTATTTAACTAACATTAGCTAATGGAACCTTATTGTAAAGTTTGGCCGGTGTCATTTATGTGGGATTGTGTAAATGTACACACTTCGCCACAGTTTTAATCTTCTTACACTGTAGAAAATGCTGGGTTCCACACAATTCCTTCATGTGTACATCACATTTTGTTTAACTTGAAGGTTTTCCAAATTGAAGTGGATTGAACATAAAACAATCAAGTTATGCCCCAAAGTAATTAATAATTGTGTTGTTTCTACTCATGTCAAAAGTTATATTCAACTCGGTTTGAGTGTAGTAATATCTGCCTAAAAAATCTACATCAATTTTGCGCACCATTCCCTTTTAGACTGCTTGCTATTTAAATGAACTGTCTTTTTTCTACACTCTGGTATACTGTATTATCATCAATTTCCCCCCAAAACATCAGCCGTAAAGAATAAAATGTGTTTAGTCGTCTTACATGAAGGTCATTCCTGTTAAGGTGGGCGGTTCATAAGGTGCCTATAGTCAAACATCTGGCTCTGCGAGACTATAACAACAAGATCATAGATCAGGTCTGCTTTGGATTTAGTAAAATAGCTGGTCAGAGCCGCTTCTGGGATGACTGGCACCATCGAAGGGTCGCCAGGTTCATGCTGTTTTTTTAAAGCAGCGAGATGGATTCACACACACACACACACATATATATACACACTGAGTTGAATGGGACTGCAGTGGCCTTTTCTGAGACAGGTTGATATGTTCCAGCTCTGCGCCGGGTCACTGATACTCTCCACATACACACACTGGATTGTTTTGACTGCTGGCTCCGCGTCCACGCTCACCATTCTGACTAATGATTACCGAAAACCTGCCGTTCCTGTCCAGGCCGTGCTTTCTATTTTAGCAGCGGCTGCAGAATGCACTTGTGTTTTTGACATTATAGCTGCTTTTCCGTCCAAATCGTGTGACGAAAGTTGGATTATTGCGAAAGTCATTTGTAACTAAAGCAGCGGTTTTCGGGAGTTTGGTTTTAAAAAAAAGGGGGGGGGGGTGCCCAAACTTTTGCGTATGAAGGGCCAAAAACCAAATATC